CAGTCCACAAACTGGATGGTACTCTTGGTCTTGATGGTGGCAGTGGCAGCATTGACATCTTTGGGAACCACATCGCCATGGTACAACATGCAGCAAGCCAGGTATTTACTACGGAGAGGGTCACATTTCCCCATCTGGTTGGCTGGCTCAAAGCTTGCGTTGGTGGTCTCTGCTACAGTCAGCCGTTCACGGTAGGCTTCCTCAGCAGAGATGGCGGGAGTATATGTGGCCAGAGGGAAGTGGATGCGGGGAAGGGGCACCAGTTTGGTGTAGAATGCTGTCAGATCAACATGCGGGGCTCCATCACATCTGAGGGAAGCCGTGATGGAAGAAATATCTGGCTAATAAGGTGGTTAAGGTTAGTGTAGGGTGGGCATTCAACATCAAGCTTTCTATGACAGATGTCATAGATGGCCTCACTGTCTACCACGAAGGCACAATCAGAGTGTTGCAGGGTGGTATGGGTAGTAACGATGGAGTTGTAGGGCTCAACTACAGCTGTGCAAATCTGGGGGGGCTGGGTAAATGGAGAGCTCCAGCTTGGACTTCTTGCCATAATTAACAGAGAGATGTTCTATCAGCAGGGAGGTGAACCCGGAACGAGTTCCCCTTCCAAAACTGTATAAAACCAAGAAGCCTTGAAGACCCATGCCCTGGTCAGCCAATTTCTGAATTTGGTCCAAGACAAGGTGAGTGATCTCCTTGCCAATGGTGTAGTGCCCTCAGACATAGTTATCAGCAGCATCTTCCTTGCCTGGGATGAGCTGCTCAGGGTGGAAGAGGTGGCAGTCAGTGCCAGTGTGAACTTCATCAATGACTGTGGGTTCCAGGTCTACAAACACTGAAGGTGTTGAAGGTGTGCTTGCCAGGACCCATCTCACTGAACAAGGTGTTGAAGGAGTCATCTCCTCCTCCAGTGGTCTTATCACTTGGCATCTGGCCATTAGGCTGGAAGTATTCCAGGCAATAGAGGTCCCAACAGGCATTGCCAATCTGGAAACCAGCCTGGCCAACATGGATGGAGATACATTCATGCATGGTAGCTACGGGATAGCAAGTGTAAGTGACAGGAACAGACATTAGTCCCAGTTACGATCCCTGACAAGCTAAGAGTCGAGGTAAGTAATGCACTCAAATTAGATCATTCTTCTTGAGTCATCATCGAGTTTACATCATTTTGTTAGTTTCTATGTGGGCAATCTTTGTACTGTTTATCAATACAACTCATAAAATGATACTTAAATTCAGAAATAAATCATAAATTTTACATATCATGTTCCAACATTGCATTTGGCTCCTATAAGTCACCTATACTATGGACTTAGCTTTTGCTCATGACGATGTAGCTTGATTCCAAACTGGACAAAAGATAAGAAACAACTGTCTTCAAAATACTAGCCAACAGCACAGGAGTGTGATACTTGAGAGAAGGGGAGAAAAAGAGTTGAACCCTGCCCAAAAGCAATTTCTGAACTGTGACATAAGAACAGGGAAATAAGGCAGAGCCCAATGGTCTGGCTTAGTTGAGGAGTCTGAAATATGATCTTGGAGACCAAAGTGGCTTGAATTGCAGAACAGGGTTGCAGTGAGGAGGAAGCTGTACAGAGAAAGAGCTCCAGAAATCTGCAAAGGGGTCTTCTCAAGTCTTTGGTGGAATAAAATAAAATAAGATGCATCTTTATGTCATTTACAAGAAATGGCTTTTTAAAAAAGATTGTATTAAAAAAATTAAAAAATAAAAAATAAAAAAGATTTTGTTTATTTAGTAGAGAGAGTGCGTGAGCTGGAGGGAAAGGGAGAAAGTATCTGAAGCAGACTCTGTGCTGAGTGCAGAGCCCAACTTGGGGCTTAATATCCCCACGACAAGATCATGACCTGAGCCGAAACCCAGTCCACTGCTCAACCGATGGAGCCACCCAGGAGCCCCATTTACAAGAAATGTTTTAAATATAGAGGTAAAGGGATAGAAAAATGTAGAACATGAAAACTCAAGTACTAAAACAGTTGGCTTAGCTATATTAGTATCAAAGTAAATTCAGATAAAAAAGTATTACTAGAAATAAACAAGAACATTTAATAATGATTGAAGTGTCAATTCATTAAGAAGACATAACAATCCTACTTGTATGTGCACCTAATGACAAATCTTCAAAAATTCAGGAAACAAAAACTGGTATCAATTAATTTATAGACAAACTCACAATTGCATGTGATTTTAACACTTTATTCTCAGTAATTGATATAGCAAATGCAAAAATCAGTAATAAACTAGATTTTGAGCAACCAATTTAACCCAATTGACATTTATACTATACCCAACAACTGCAGAATTTATATTCTTTTAAATTTTACTTGGAACATTCATCAAGATAGGCGATATGCTGGGCCAGAAGCCAAATCTCAATAAATTTCAGAGGATTGTAAGTATAAAGAATATATTTTGTGTTCAAAACAGAATTAAATCAGAAATCAATAATAGAAGGATATCTGGAAAATCTCCAAATATGTGGAAATCAAGCAACATACTCCTAAATAGCCCATGGTCAAAGAAGAAATCACTAGGAAAGTTTTAAAATATTTTTAACTAAATGATAAAAAAAACACATCAAAATTTGTTGTATGCAGCTAAAACAGTATTTGGAGGCAAATTAGTTTTAAATGCTTGGGTTAGAAGGAATAAAGTTTTAAAATCAATTATCTATGTTTCCACCTTAGAAATTAGAAGAACAGTAAAGTCAGTATAGAAGGAAAGAATTAAAAATTAAATAATAAATATACATATTAAATACAGTAGGAATATATAATAATAATAGCAGAAGCTAATGAAATTTTAAAAATTAGTAAAGAAAATAAATAAGGGTAAGAGTTGGTTCTTGGAATAATTAATAAAGTTAAAAACCTCCTAGGGGTACCTGGCTGGCTCAGTAGGTGGAGCATGAGACTCTTGATCTCAGGGTTATAAATTCGAGCCTCACATTGGGTACATAGATTACTTAAAAATAAAATCTTTAAAGAAAATAAAATATGAATTGAAACCTCCTAGATAGACTAATTGAGAAAAAAATAAGGGATCACAAATTTTCAACTGTTGACTTGGCACAGTCCACCAGTGGGCCAGTTGGAGATTTTTTGATGCTCTTCTTTTGGTTACATAAACACCATGCTTTTGGGGGGAATAAAAATCCCCAAAATTAATGTCACTCAAGACAGTCTATGGTGCTATAACAGGGTAATACCCAAAATCATCCAGAAATAGGCAATGAAGGAAAATATAAAGTTCTGCTTAGGCAACATTGAAACTGAGAAAATAAGGATCCTAAATAAGTTTAAATATTTTTTAATGAGTGTTTTTCTCCTTACTTTCAGAACTGAAAAACAGGAATTACAGCAAAGTGCCTCCTACCTAAAACAGTCCTTAATACGAAACTGGAATCCAATTTTTATAAGAAATTATCTGGGTGGTACATTTTTAGTGGGTTTCTTTCTTCAAAAAAATATCCAATTAACAAATAGGTTAAGAGCCTAGACTCTGAAGCCAGACTTCATTAGTTAGCATCCCAGTTCCCCCACTTGCCAGCTATGTGTCCATAAACAAGTTACTTGGTTTCTATGTGCCTCTCTTTCCTCATCTGTAAAGCAGGGATTAATAATACTATTGCCAATCCATTATGAATGATTTAAAAAGCAAATATTTATAAGTGCTTAGAATAGCGCTTGCTCACATAAATGCTATATAGGTGCTAAATAATTAATAAATAAATACTACTTTGGATCACATTTACAATCATCATCAATCTTTAATAAAGGCAAAATTTTCAAGTCTGATGTTCAAACAAAACATTTAAATAGAAATCTGAGTTTTAAGGCTTATTACCTAAATTTGGCATAAATCTCCCTCCCTTCCAATTTTCACCTATTCTTCGCAAGCTATTCGTTCTCCACGAAGTTATCCACACGTGAAAGCATGTGCCTTGTATTGTTGAACTGACTGATTGTTCTTAACTCTTTGTTTATCAGCCTAAGAACAAGAAAAGCAAGATTGAGGCCACTGCCATGATACTCTTAGTAATAAAGTTAATAGCACTGTTTATACTACCTAGAGCAAAGGCAAGGTGAGCAGAGGAGAGACTTTTCTTCATTGTTGAAGTCCCAGGGCACAGAGGCATCCTATTTCTGCGGCAAAGGTTTTAGCAGGAATTACACCCATTTCATATGGGATAATGACCTACTACCAAGCCTTTCACTAACTAGTTGGTTAAGTTACTTAACCTTACTCTTCGCCTCTGACCCCTCATCTGTAAAAAGTGGCCATTAATAGACTAGGTTGTGAGATATAATGAGCGCCTACATACGCATGGCAAAGCAAGAATATCATAAATGCTAGCTATTACTATTTTGTGGGAATAAGTCGTTTCATTTTGAACATTGCTTCTGCTTCAGGATTTATTGCAAATAACTGCAAGACTTAAGAGAAAAAAGGCTTTTGGGGGACATGAGTTTGAAGCCGAGGGACCGCGGGGAGAATCTGATAGCACCAGAAGGGCAAAATCTGTTAGAATCAACTTTAGCATGGTAATCAGAGCAGAATCCCAATGGCCAGCAACTTCCTTACAAAGCCGCCAACATTTGCAGCAGGGCCCTCAGAAAGACATTTTTGGACCTCGGAAGAAGCCAGAAGGGGTGCTCAACACAGACTTTACTCCACTAAATTGCCGGAGAGTTGGCTCGGCGGACGCCACGCTCCGAGGAACACTAAAAAGTGTCCACTGCGCAGCTCCAGCCGCAGACCCGAGAGGCAGCTAGCGCTCCCGCAAGTCTCACGAGGTACCAGACCTGCAACCGCGGTCCCAACCCCGAGCTCTAGTTCCCAGCCTCAGACCTCGGGGGCGTGGCTCGCGCGGAGGTCCATCCATCCCGTCGGCGGAGGCTGTCCAGGGGCGGAGTCAGCGCTCACTCGTCCGGAACCCTACAGCTCCGCCCCATCGCGGGCCCTTGGGGAGCAGGAGAGGCCCGCGTGGAGGAGGAGCGAGGGACTGCTCCGAGAAGCCCCGACTGGGGGCCATGGGGGGACAGGTGAGGTTACCGCCTGGAGAGCCCTGCCAAGAGGGTGAGTGTGAGACCTGGCATCTGGGTGGTGATGAGACCGGGTGGGCGGTCCCGGGTACGTGTGGAGAAGAGAAATGAATACACAGACTCGTAACGCATTCATTCGTGCGTGTACTCATTCAGTCTTTCGGCCAGTCAAGAGCTCCATACTGGTGCGGACAATGTGCCAGGCTCTGGGAAAGCTTGAGTCGAACAAGATAGACATACGTGGCTCCCACTCTGGTCCAGGAGGCAGACGCATGTAAATTACAGCATGCTGAGGGTCGGGACGAGGAAAATCAGGGTGCTGGGGGGGGGGGGGAAGAGTCCCAAGTCTTGTCTGAGAAAGACGCTTCCTCTGACTCAGACTGGCTTCCAGAGTCCGCGGTCGAAGTCACCGGGTGGGCGGAGGGCGTGCCCCGGGACGAGGCGGGAGTCTGCGTTGCGCCCTGCGTTGGCTCGGCGAGGGTCAGACACTGTGGAAGGTCAGGCGCCCTGGGCCTCGGGGGAGGGCGGCGGACCCGCCTGGGCCGTACACATCTCTCCTCTGTCTTCGAGATGAAAACTTGTGCAACCCTGCTAGCCTCGCGTCTGACTCGCTGTGCAGTCACTTCTTGGCTACGTAAGGCGAGAGGCCAACGGACGAGGACACGGGGAACTGGGCGCAGTCAGTGGTAGGTTTGTTACTGCCCGCTAGGCTGGGGTTTCGGCCCCCAAGCGAATCCTGAAAAATCGCTGGGCCAGGCCACTTGCCCTTTGCCAGGTGTTTACAAGACTGGTAGACTTTCTAAAGTCACAGTTCAGAAGGCATGCGTGAGCCAGGATAAAAGTAGGGACGCGAATACCTGGGAACGCGCCGGCTGACAGGAAGGGTGTGTCAACTGACGGGACAGTTTTCGCCTTGTCAAGGCGAAGGCTAATCTCTAATTTACCTGGTAAGGACGTGCAGAGGGAGGAGTGAGGGGCGTGGCAAGAACGCCTTTCCAAAGTTGCGAACAGCTTCCCGGGTTTCTTCTCCTCTTGGCTCCTCCAGATTATTCTTTGACGACGCAGAGAGTTTAAACTAAAAGAAGGGGGTAGGGAGGCTGAGGGGGAGTTGGAGGGGGTGTCAGTGAACAAGTCAAAACTATGCCAGCAAGAGAGAGAAGGGACACAAAGAAAAGAGAAAATGCCTGAACAACTCACAAACTACTCAAAAGCTGAAGTTTTGGAAGTGGTTTATACTAAAGCAGCTGGATCTGGAATTATTTCCTAGATAGATTGCATGACTTTTGTCTAAATAATTCCTAAACCAGTAAGTTAGACTGTTAATAGTATATCCACCCTTATTTACCCGAGGATCTGTAAGTAAGGAGGGTTTGTGAATTGCCCTCGCTTGTTTGAACTTAGATGTTTTCCTGCTTTACTCGTGCATTTAGTTCCAACAAGATGTATTCAAGCTCAGTGCTTAATACCTGTGATTAATTATAATTAATTGTGTGGGAGAGACTTGAGAGAAATCAGAATCCTTATCAACAGTGGGAAGAGATTAGGCTTTAGAGTCAGTCCTCTCAACTATAACTTAACCTCCTTGAGTCTTCATCTATAAATCAGAAATAATTTGTACAGTTTACAGTTGTCAGATTACATATGAAGCACATGGCTCAGAGCCTGACATGGAGTAAAGGCTCAGTTTTTCATGCATTCATTCATTCATTCATTCAAATAACAAGAGTCTATGTGCCAGGCACTGCTATAGAGGGATTTGCAAGATAGTCTAGTCCTAGACTCTAGTAAGCCTCCCATGCAGCTTACTGTGCAGAAGGCAGATAATATGCAACAAATGAATAAAAAGGACACCCAAGAGTGGTAACTGTCATGAATAATGTCTTGAGAGAGTTGAGGATGTTTAGATTGGGTACTCAGGGAAGGTCCCTTAGAGAAAGTTCTGTTTGAGCTGAGATCCAGATGACAAGGAGTCCATCATGAGATCTAAGGATAGAGCATTCCAGTTGGACTTCCATAAAGAAAAAGTTAACCCCATACTTTGGTTTTTACTTTTTTTTTTTTTGGTTTTTTTTGTTTGTTTGTTTGTTTTTACTCTTAAACCATAGATGCTTCAAAAGACTTCTAATCCAAAATTTTCTCTTCTCTTTTTTTTAAAAGATTTTATTTATTTATTTATTTGAAAGAGAGAGAGAGAGCATGAGCGGGGGGAGGGGCACAGGGAGAGGGAGAAGCAGACTCCCTGCTGAGCAGGAAGGCCAATGCAGGACTCAATCCCAGACCCTGGGATCATGACCTGAGCCAAAGGCAGATGCTTAACTGACTGAGCCACTCAGGCACCCCTTAATTTTTTTTAAATCAGTAGTGTCTTCTCAATTTTACTTTGGTTAATTGAAATAATGGTCTTCTTACCCAGCCTTAATGGTGTTTACATGTAAAGATATTACTATGACTTGATTTCCATACTTGCTCACAATCATTCTCATTCTTATTCTGTGCCAAATTTTCTCTAAATTATTTCTCATTCCTATTCTGCTCCCTTTATTCCTGTTTGATAATTCTCTAATAAAATTGTCAGCTTCATGAGAACAAAGACATGTTCACCTGTCTTGCTGGTCACTGTCTCTCCCATACTTAGGGCCTGGTACTCAGGAATTGCCCAGTAAGAATTTGCAAAGTGTTGAATAAATGAATACCTAACATAATGCCTTGCATGGTAGGTTTTTAACAACTTTTTTGTTGGATATATGGATGTACAATGTTGTCATAAAGTCATAATGAAGTTGTGAGAAGAAGTTTGTTTCATCAGCAGCATTAAATAACGATGATGTGCTGATATGATGGAAAGCCCCTGAGATGTTCCTTTTTTTTGAAGATTTTATTTATTCATTTATTTGAGAGAGAGCGAGGGCGAGAGAGCATGAGCAGGGGGCAGCAGAGGGAGAAGCAGGCTCACCGCTGAGCAGGGTACCCCATGTGGGACTCCATCCCAGGATCATGAGCTGAAGGCAGATGCTTAACGGACTGAGTCACCCAGGCGCCCTTGAGAAGTTCCTTTAGAGTGCGAGGGCAGAGAAGGCCTTTCTAAGGAGGTGACATTTTAAAGATTTATTTATTTATTTTAGAGAGAGGGAGGGAGTGTGCATGAGAGTGGGGAGGGGCAGAAGGAGAGGGAGAGAGAGAAACTCAAGCAGACTCCATGCTCAGCACAGAACCCAATGGGGGGCTTGATCTTATGACCCTGAGATCATGACCTGAGCAGAAATCAACAGTTGGATGCTTAACCACCTGAGCCACCCAGGTGCCTCAGGAAGTGACATTTTAAAGTGAGACTCAGTGAGGAGTTAGCTCTACCTGCAACTGTCAAGGCTAAGTAACAAGTAACAAAGCTTTGAGGTGAGAAGGAATTTAGCCTATGAAAGGAACAGGACCAAAAACAAAACAAAACAAAACAAAAACCCAAAAAACAAAACAATTGTAGGGAATGTGGTTAGGGATTCTATAGGCTCTTGTAGACTGTGGTAGGGATTTTAGATTTTTCCTAAATGAGAAGGGAAGCCATTGTGGAATTTTAGAGGGAGAAATGACAGGATTGGACCTACTAATCTAAAGACTCATTTCATCTGATCTTGCCCCCTCTGCTCTATCTTGACCTCATCTGAGGCCATCTCCCTTCCACCACCCCAGTTAGCCTCAAGTACATTCCTGCCTCAGGGTTTTTACATTTACACATAGCAGAGAGGTTTGTGCACTTAATTAAAAAAAAAAAATTCTTTTATGCTACTTTTCCTGCTTTCCATGGCACTCAACATATTATGTAGTTATTAGTTCGCTTGTTTATTTTGTTGCCCCTCATTAAAATAAACATGAGAGCAGGAATTCTACTTTATTTACTGTTGTATCCCCAGCTTCTAGAAAATGCCAGACAGACAGTAGATACTCAATAGTTATTGAGTCAGTGAGTGAAAAGATGGCTAGTGTTATTTCAGAGAATGAGTGAGAGAGAGGGAGATGCAGTTTGATGTCAGAGGTGAGCAAGCTTCAGAGCATGTAAAGCTTTTAAAGAGTTCAGAATTAGGAGTTTAGATTTTGTTATAATTGAAATGAAAAGTCATGGGGAGAGGAGAGGGAAATTAAGTAGGGGGGTGACATGATCTGAGTCACACTGGCTGATATTTGGAGAATACATTTCAGGGGACATAAAGAAATTCATTCATATTTTTTTTCTATGCTAAGAGGAATAGGCAGGTATATCCATCAGCTATTGCTACATACTACACAGCCCAAAACTCAATGGCTGAAAACAACAATCATATATTCTTGCCTATGTGTCTGTAGGTCAGCTGACAGTTGACTGATCTAGCCTGGGTTCACCTGGGTGTCTCTGCCTCAGGCTACATGGGCGCCTGGGTTTGGCTCCTTCATGTGGGATGAGCTTGGATCTGCTCCATGTGTTTTCATTCTGGGGCTCAGGCTGAAGGGGCAGCAGCTCCTTCCGAAAGCTCTATTCCTGACCAGTACAGAGGTGCAAGAGAGTAAACTTAAGTACATCAGTGCATTTGAAGCCTGTGCTCATATCCCCTCTACTGCTGTCCCATTGACCACCAGCTCACTTCCAGCCTGACATCGGAGGGACAATATTCTGCCCACATCAGGAGGGGTAAGGGAGTAGCTATTTGCTGAATAATAAGCCAAACAAACACGTGAAATGGACGGTGAGATAATGATTTCCTGAAACTGGAAATATCTTGTAATGATTTAAAATGCAGTTTTATGTAATCATTGACTTCTTAGGAACCAGCTTTCCTACTATATGCAATTAACCGAATAATTTAAAGTATTACCCTCTTGTACTTGAAAAAATTATTCAAAGCATTTCATCTTTGTATAAACATTAATAATAACTTTTAGCTGGCTTTATCTGTACTTTATGTTTTTACTTCTCTGAAATAAAAATACTGGCCTGGGAATTGGGTTGCTACTTGGCTGTAATTCTGACAATTACATGGCTTTGGCAAGTCACTTAATATCTTGGCATCAGTTTCTTTTAAAACGTTTTTCGATTACAAGTGCCCATGAGTTTAAAGCGGGTCTATCAGCAACATTTATGAGCCACTGGGATTGTAAGTAAATTACTCCGGGAACAAAGACTGTCTATGATCAAATCACAAAATTACAGAAAGCATCTTCAGAATCACTGAGTCAAACTCCCCTATTTAAAACAAAAACAACAACAACTCTATTTTAGAGATGAGGAAACTGAAATCAAGAGTAAATATTCAACTTGCCCACGATTAGAGATAGTAACAGAGCTCAAGGTGAGGAGAGGTACATAATCCTATAGGAAATTTAACTTTACTTTGAAATTTTTAGTTTGTGTGTGTGTAAGTGAACTTTCACACTTGTACATGGAAGATATGTATTTATTAAGTTCAACAATACGGAACTGCTATTTTTATGGGGTCAAAAATTGTCAAATATCATTAATTACATACATTTCAACATAATTAAGAACTTTAGCAGTACTGTTTGTGAAAGTAAAAACATTGTACATGACTCAAATGTCCACCAGCTGTAAAATAGAAAAATTAAATAGTGAGGTAATCATAAAGTGGAATTCTACAGAACAGTGGGCAAAAACAAATCCTACAGCCACATGCATCAACACTGATAAATCTCAAAAACAAGCAGGTCCCCAAAGAATACATACTGTATGATTTACATTTTATAAGATGCAGAAGCAAAATGAAACAATGTATTATTTGAAGATACAGTCGTATAAGGGAAATCATTTGGAAAAAAAGGGATCTTACACAGGAAATCAGGATAGTCGTCTCTTCTGAGAGGTAATGTTTATTTCTTAAATTAGGTGGTTGACACATTGGTGTGTATTGAATTTTTCTTTATAACTGATACATATTTTCTAAATATTAATTACTCAATATTTAGAAAAATTAATAAGAATAATACCAAAGAAGTAATGCACGCACCCTGCTGGCAGGAGTATAAATTGGGACCATCACTTTAGATGTCTGTTAAAACAAAACATAATGAATGTAATAGATTTTCTCTATGTTGAATAAAGTTTAAATTCCCTGGATAATTACTTTGCTTACTAGAATCTTAAGAAGCCAACTGAGATATCTCTGGTTCCTCTGAAACACTCCAGACACCCTGCCCACACGTTTTACTTTGCCCGTCTGTCTCCTGCCCCACCACTCCGCACCCCACAACCCACCCTTCACTTCCCCACTCCCTCCTTCGGTCACATCTGCTGTAGGCTCTCTCCTCAACAGGCACCCAACATAAAACAATTTAAGTTCTAAGGTCAGAAGCTAGACAAGATTTTTATTATTTTTCCTGCCATAAAACTTGCAGCATTAATAGCTACTGCTCACAATAAGAACTTACAAAATCCAACAAAGATTATTTGCTTTCCCTTATCACCCTCTGCCCCCACACCCCCTAAAATGTCGGAAACATTTTGCTATGTCAACAGCTTAGAAAGAATATTGTTTCACTGGAATGAGACCTGCCTACACTGTTTTCAGAGATGAAGTTTTGGAATGGTTATGTTAATTACATAGTAAGTAACACCAAAGCAGTCGTGGAGGAATTCACTGGAAAGTCAAGTCAGATGTTTTCTCAGGAATTAATGTAATGGAAATTCTTACTATAAAAATCACTTTCCATTCTTGGGGTTTTAAATGAGATGAACAGTGACTGGAACAAGATTGCTAAGGGCTGGCTTGTCTGAAAATAAGCAACTCTTAAAACAACCTGCCTGAAAATTCCTCAATGTTACAGAAAATCCCTAAAGTCATATAATTCTCCTTGGAATATTTAGAAGCTTTGAATTAGAATTTATTCTGTATCTTTGAAACACAGTTGATTCATTTTCAGCTTATAGAAATAAGTGAAATAATAATCATGAGAAGCTTGAATGCAATTATTTTACCTTTTTAGGGAGCTGAACTTTATCATGTTTCTTAACTTTGTAAGTGGTGAATTCAGATAACTGCATAATGTTATGCCAGGGAGGCATAGATCCAGTTACCAAAGTTTTGTCCCTAAGACATCATTTGGTCAAACTGTCTTTTGTTGTTCATATGCCTTCTTAAGATTTTTGAGATGTAAAACTAATTTTTTTCATTGAATTCTAAAATTGTAGTTGATTCATTTTTCCTTGCCTTTTTTGTTTAGAATAATTCAGAATGGGAAAATTGTTTTAAAGAAAAAAATGAAACTAATGTAACACTGTATATTAACTATACTTAAATTAAAATGAAATAATGGGGTGCCTGGGTGGCACAGTCAGTTGAGCATCTGACAAATGGTTTCGGCTCAGGTCATGATCTCAGGGTCGTGAGACTGAGCGCTGCATTGGGCTCCACGCTTAGCACAGAATCTGCTTGAGATTCTCTCTCTCCCTCTCCCTCTGCCCCACCTGTTCTCTCTCTCTCTGTAAAATAAATAAATAAATCTTTTAAAAAAATAAAATAAAATAAAAGGAAATGAACTATTGGGACTGCATCAAGATAAAAAGCTTTTGCACAGCAAAGGAAACAGTTGATAAAACCAAAAGACAACCTACTGAATGGGAGAAGATATTTACAAATGTCTAATCAGATATAGGGCTAGTATCCAAGGTCTATAAATAACTTATCAAACCCAACACCCAAAAAACAAATAATCCAATCAAGAAGTGGGCAGAAGACATGAACAGACATTTCTCCAAAGAAGACAGACAAATGGCCAACAGACACATGAAAAAATGTGCCACATCACTCGGCATCAGGGAAATCCAAATCAAAACCTCAATGAGATACCACCTCACACCAGTCAGAATGGCTAAAATTAACAAGTCAGGAAACGACAGATGTTGGTGAGGATGCGGAGAAAGGGGAACCCTCCTACACTGCTGGCGGGAATGCAAGCTGGTGCAGCCACTCTGGAAAACAGTATGGAGGTTCCTCAAAAAGTTGAAAATAGAGCTACCCTACATCCCAGCAATTACACTTCTAGGTATTTACCCAAAGGATACAAACATAGTGATCGGAAGGGGCCGCCTGCACGCAATATTTATAGCAGCAATATCCACAATAGCCAAACTATGGAAAGAGCCCAGATGTCCATCAACAGATGAATGGACAAAGAAGATATGGTGTGTGTGTGTATACACACACACACACACACACACAATGGAATACTACTCAGCCATCCAAAAAAATGAAATCTTACCATTTGCAACAACATGGGTAGAACTAGAGGGTATTATGCTAAGCAAAACAAGTCAGAGAAAGACAATTACATGATTTCACTCGTGTGGCATTTAAGAAACAAAACAGAGGATCATAGGGGAAGGGAGGGAAAAATAAAATAAGACAAAATCAGAGAGGACGACAAACCATAAGACTCTTAATCATAGGGAGCAAACTAAGGGTTGTTGGAGGGGAGGTGGGCGGGGGGATGGGGTAACGGGGTGATGGGCATTAAAGAGGGCACTTGATGTAATGAGCACTGGGTGTTATATTCAACTTATGAATCACTGAACTCTACCTCTGAAACTAATAATACACTCTATGTTAATTAATTGAATTTCAGTAAAGTAAAATTTTAAAAAAATAAAAGGAAAACAAAAGAGAAGAGGGTCAGAAAATCTTGTCACAATGTCACCTTGCTGGGCAGCTACCTTTTCAAGTGGAGAACAGATTTAAAAGTTCCTTATATTGTCTGCAGTGGGTTCATTTTGTGTTTTAGTGTTTAGATTTAAAATTCTAAGACACTTAAAATAATGGATCTGGTTCAGTAGATTTACGTGTTTGTTTGGGTCCTATTCTAAGAAAAGCATACTGATATTTCATTCCTTTTTTTTTTTCCACTGGATTTTATTTAGGAGAAGGTAGATGAGTAGACCTGAAAAATCATCCTTTTCAGGGAAACTAGTACAGAAAACTAAACCCCCTTTAAACACATTTTCGGAAATGCACCATCACCCCACCAATGGGTTAGCTAAATTTCCTATAAGAGGCCCACCGATGGATTGCTGGGCCTGTCCCAACACTCAGGCATCAGGGACACTGCTTTCCAGGAGCCACGCTGACCAGGTGGAGGAGGGAGGTGGGTCCGGGGGCGCCGTGAGGAATGGCTGAGCGCGCGCCAGTGCGAACACCTACCCGCTACTCTTGCTACTCTCCAGGTTGCTGTTTTGCGGGAACCGAGAGCTGAGCAAGTATTGCCGGATTCTCCAATTTATAAGAGGAAGTCAGACTTTCAGGTGACATCTCCATTTGTAAATGATGACAATGAAACCCTTTTTAAAACATTTTTGAGAACCTATGGGAGCCAAACTGAACGTGTCCACAGGCGTGTGGACCGCCGGCTGGGAACGTTCCTCCATGCACTAAAATACGGGTCTCAGGACTGTCCACTAGGGTTTCTCTTCCTCGGAGAAAAGGAGTAAATATTAACGTATCTCCCTTTTATGCTTGTTGACATTTCCTTCTGTCCTTTTTTCACAGGCTACCTGCTGTCTCTGCTCTGCCCCAACTCCTCCCAGGCCTGGTGTGAGATCACAAACGTGTCACAGCCCCTGGCTTTTCCTGTCCTCCACAGGGACCTGAATTCCAGCGTAAGCAACTGGAGCATTTCTGCGAAAGTCGAAAACAAATACAGTCTGTATGTGGGCCTGTTGCTGGCAGTCAGTTCCAGTATTTTTATCGGCTCCAGCTTCATATTGAAAAAGAAGGGCCTCTTGCAACTGGCCAAGAAGGGCGTTACCAGAGCTGGTAAGAAACGGATGCAACTAGCCAGTTCAGGTTTCTGCAGCAACTGCAGAAATAATCCTGTTGTAAGACCTTTTTTTTTTTTTTTTTTTAAGATTTTATTTATTTATTTGACAGAGCGAGAGAGGGAACACAAGCAGGGGGAGTGGGAAAGGGAGAAGCAGGCTTGCCGCAGAGCAGAGAGCCCGATGTGGGGCTCCATGCGGGGCTCCATGCGGGGCTCCATGCGGGGCTCGATCCCAGGACGCTGGGATCATGACCTGAGCTGAAGGCAGACGCTTGGCGACTGAGCCACCCCGGCGCCCCCTGTTGTAAGACCTTAACGCTACAGTAGTAATGTTTTACTGTCTCTTAGCCCCTGTCTCTCTTCTTAGCAAAACTCCCCTGCAGTTTCCAAGATTGAGCCAGCTTTGTCGCCTTTAGGGTGAAACTAAAGTTCTTGTTCCCAGAGGTTGAGAGTGTGGTTTGAGTCCTTCTTTCAGAGCTTTTGTGTGCAATTTCAGTATTCAAGGTCAGACACTGCTTCCCTGCTTAAAACACGTCAGTGGCTTTCTTTGCACTCAGAATAAAACCCAAACACCTCTCCACAGTCTCTGACCTCCTGCGTCAAATGGTCCTTGCAACCTCTCCAGCTGTATCTTCTGCTACCCTCCCTCCCTGTCAGCTACTTTTCTCGGCTTCCTGGAATAGACCAAGTTCTTTGCCACCTCAAAGCCTTTTCCCTTCACCTAGAACCTCTTTTCCCTGCCCTTCCTTTGGCTGACCCATCCTTCAGGCTTCAGCTTAAGTATCATCACCTCTGATGGTCTTCCTCTCTGGGGAGGTGTCCCTCACACACCCCCCTTACTCTCTATCGTGGCACTAAGCATTTCCTTCATTGTACCTAAAACAATCTGTCATTGTACGTTTATTGCTTATTTACTTACTTATTGATAGTAGATGCACAAGAGCAGGAACCTTCCCTAGGATAGTGTTTGGGACCCAATAAATATTTGTTAAATCAGTAAATGGATAGCAGTAGAATTAGGTTGCTATTTATAGTGACAAGTCACATGCTGAGTAACTCAGCTTAACTACCCTTCATTAATCATGAACTTCTATTCATCTTTTTCTTTTTTTTGCCATTTTATTGATGTATAGTGAATATACAAACACTTCACATAATGTATACAATTTGATGAGTTTGGACATATGAATATACCTGTGATACCATCACCATAATCAAGATAATACATATTACCTCCCAAAGTTTCCTTACGTCCCTTTTCCTTTTTTTTCTTTTTTTTTTTTTTTTGGTTATTAGAATACATAACATGTGGTCTACCCTCCTGTATTTTTTTTTTGCTCTTTCAGACATTTCTTTTTATTGACAGTTTGTGTTCAATGCAAATCAATTCTATAATATGAGAAGTTACTATGAATCAAAGCATAAGTACACAAACACAATATACAATCCAAAATAGATGTATAGCATTCAGGTGTGAAACAAAATTGGATATGGTTGTTTCAGTGTAGGTTCTAAAGATGGGAAAAAATGACCTTGGTTATCAAGACTACTGTGGCCATATTAGATATTGAAACAACTAAGCATCAGTGCAAACAAAAGTCCTTACAATGTCCATTTTTAAAAAGCTTTCTGTGTATCGAGGCAGACAACATCCCAAGATTAGTTAAGAGATGATTTCTTAAAATGTGGTTTAAAAGTATGGACATGGGGGTGCCTGGGTGGCTTAGTCGTTAAGCATTTGCCTTCAGCTCAGGTCATGATCTCGGAGTCCTGGGATGGAGCCCCTCGTTGGGGCGCCCTGCTCATCAGGGAGCCTGCTTCTCCCTCTCCCTCTGTCTCTCCCCCTGCTTGTGTGCTTTCTCTCTCTGTCAAATAAATAAATAGAATCTTTTAAAAAAAAAGTATGGGGGACATGTAAAATTCTACCTTGAAAATGAGAATAGATTTTTTCTTACCTAGATATAAAGAATGGGATGTGAACAGATTCAGTTTTCATTTGGTTCATGAAATCTTTAAGGCCATAAAACAGGTAATACAAAAAGCTTCCATGATTCTATATATGTGTGTACATTAGAAGAAACTTCCGGGTGTTACTGTAAATCCTCAATGCATTGTGTCAGCAGTCCTAATTTAATGCACATGTACTCCAGATAAAGTTTTACACTGTCAAGATATCACTATTTCTTGGGAACTGAATTCTTTCCTTTGTGACTCTATTCATTCTTATCAAGAATGTCATAAAATAACTAAATATTATTCTAAGGTTCAGATGAGAAATGACTACAAATTGCACAAACAAGTTTATAAAAATACTATTGGAGGACATTTGCACTATCAGAAATAAAATGTACTATAATGCTATAGTAATTAAAACAGTTTGGTACTGGCCCTAAAAAAGATAAATAAAATAATGAAAGATAATTGAAAACTTATAAAGGGATCCAAGTACATATAACAATTTAATATGCAATTTTTAAAAGTGGAATTTCAGGGCACCTGGATGGCTCAGTGTGTTAAGCATCTGCCTTCGGTTCAGGTCATAATCCCAGGGTCCTGGGATGAGCCCCACATCAGGCTCCCTTCTTGGTGGGGAGCCTGCTTCTCCCTCTCCCTCTGCCTCTCCCCCTGCTTCTGCTCTCTCTCTCTTTCTCTCTCTGTCAAATAAAATCTTTAAAAAAATAATAAAATAAAATAAAGTGGCATTTCAATCCACTGGAGAAAGGATGGATTATTTGATCAGAAGTGTTAAGACACTTGGCAAAAATTAGAGGAAAAAATGTAAGAGTTCTACTTCATACCCTTCAGGAATTTAAAATGAAATGATTTTTCTCAAGAAACCTAAAAGAAGGTCTTTCTAAGCAAGCAGATAAAGGAAGAATCTATTCTGTATAAAGGAGAGACTACCTAGATTGATAAAAAAAAAAAAAATCCTACGTGGAAACACCTTAACTAAAACTAAAAAGCAAATGACATATGGGGCCAGGGGTGGGGAGAGTGTTTCCAAAATAAATGACAGACAAAGGATATTAAGATCCACAGTATATAAAGAATGACCATAGTTGATAAGAAAAAGATTAGTACCTTAAGATAAAATAGGCAAATACATAAACAAGAAACTCACAAAATAAGAAATGCAAGTGTCCAATAAACATATATAAGTAAATGTTATTTCACTAGTACCAAAAGAGATACCATCATATAACAAGGAGCTCCTGGGTTGTTGTCTATCATTTTTCTTTCTTTCTTTCTTTCTTTCTTTCTTTCTTTCTTTCTTTCTTTCTTTCTT